TCGTGCAAAAAATACGATTACTTGAATATATATGACGGTGTTAAGTTTTCACTCAACAATAGCATATAATCTAATGGATTTCGAAACACATTTATCCTAAAAATGTAACTTACTAATGCTAATGTAACATTAGCCGTTTCCTTCTAAAGATACTGTTAGTGGGTGCTAATTTCTCTCCCTATAAAGGGGGATAACTCAAAATACTTTTGAGATACGTCCTTTGTCCGCTAGTTTGACCGCGCCACATTCTGAATTCAACGTGATGCTGAAACACACACGTGCAACTCATGGCTCAATTCCAAAATATCCCTTGTTATTCTCAGACTGTAAAAGAATAAAATTTATTTTATTATGTGTTAAAATACACTTATCTTTTATGTTCATTCTTTTTTGTTCATCTCAACAACTTGGGATATAAGAGAAATCTTACGCATTAATTAATTAAGCTATCAGTTCTCATGTCGATTGAAATTTATACAATAGTTTTTTTGAAACAATTTTTCAGAAGATAAGTTTGTGAAATCGTTAGCGATCTTTCCAGTATCGGTGGGTATTTAGTCTCTACCATTTTGTTTGAAAAGTATACGGTCATCCTCTTGATCATGACATTATTTTATTTTCCAGTTATCAATTTGATTTCTTGCTGCTGTTAAATTCTCGCAATTGATGCGATCTCTGTTATCAAGCACAATCTTTTGATTGGGATACTGTATCCCCAGTTTACAAGGTTCTAAAAAAATAAGGTTTTCCCCATAATCCACACGCTCAAAACCATTTTTACACATTTAACTGAGAAAGAGGTTTTATTAGCAATTAATCATTTATTAAAAAGAGTTGATAAAACAGATCTCTCTGTCTCTCTGTCTCTGTCTCTTTCTCTGTCTGTCTGTCTGCCTGCCTGTCTGTCTGTCTGTCTCTCTCTATCTCTCTCTCTCTCTCTCTCTCTCTCTCTCTATATATATATATATATATATAAACCTTACCTTATTTATCTGTGGAAATGAAATTTTAAAAAAACTTTAAAAATAGATGATCACACGCATTCCAGCCGCGGACAGCATGCCAAGCCTCGGAATAACTGATCTTATTCAAAGTAAAATAAAAATAAATTAAGAGTTGATCATTAAAATCATGAGAAAGATAAGACTCACAAAAATGGATATAAAGAAATTATCTTATATTTTTGGAATGTTGGACATAAAAAAATATCATTTCGTTTTAAATGCCTGTCATGCAAACAATCTTAATTTAACTTCATTCTGAAGAAGCACATAAAAATATATAGTCACATTTATTCTCTGACAGGCTTCTAAAACGGAACGATTAAAAAACTGAAATATCTGTTTGTTGTAGCGACTCTTCTACTTCTGAGGATACCTGGCTAACACGAAAAAATACGATGGCTTACTTTAAAACATAGACCAGAATGCATGTTTCATCAACTATATAAAAGGGTCATTTGATTCGCGGAGATGTTTCCTATCATTTTGATCTTTTGTGACTGAAAACAATGTTTATAAAAAAGAAATAATACTCAGCGTAAACTCATTGAACATTAGTAGTGTTGTGAATGCTTAACTTTGTGCATCTCATTATTGTGATTTCAGGAAGAATATTCTCCGTAGAATATATCGTCAGTTCACATTATTCACGGAATTAATCTAGGCCATAATGTTTCTATCTGGAGTATAAATTCGGTCAAGCCTGTTTATACCCCATTGAATACAAGCCACTCTACCCAAATATGCATTTTCCATAAAAATATAACGTATGACTTAAATGGACTCTTATTCATGTATCAGAAAAAATATTTAAATGTAAAGAAATGTCTATTTATATTAGATTAAATTAGGACGAACTATATTATATTTTATTTAATATAATTTAAAACCTATAAACTTCACCTAAAAAATCTTTATTATTCTGACTTATGTAGGTTCAACTTTCGTCTAGATCACACTCCATCTCTTAATTTTTAAAAGGAATAGATTATTTGCATTCGGTTCCTTCTAATATGTTTTAATTCTCTTGGATTCTGTGTCTTAGTGGCATTATCCTGTTCCTTTGGGTGAATTGACTGAAGAATATCTATTATTAGAATTATTATATTTCTCATGTAGTCTGTCTGTGTGTCTGTCGTGGGAGTTGTTACCTCGCCCAGGCCACATTTCTCACCCGATTTCGATGCGGTTTTCACCATAAGTTTGCAAATGGCTGACGTAAGGATATGAAGGGGCCCGATTTTTGAGTTCGGACTCAGGCTCCGAAAAAATCGATAATCGAAAAAAATCTGTTACAGAAGGAATGATCGCATTTCAACCAAATTTGACACCCTCTTAGAGTCTACCATTCGAAGTGTTGTCCAGACCACGGACCCCTAAACAGCACAGAATAATCGATAAAGCCCAAAAAACCGATACGCCCAGATTACGCCTGAACCCATGTTGGTTTTTAGCGAAAACCAACCAGATATATGAGGAGGCCATTGGGAATTACCGTGTGAAGTTTCAACTCTGAGCGTCCCCCCAACAGAGTGTAAATCGACAATCGGTCAACCCTTAAAAATGTTTTTCCGGTTGGGTATTTCCTAAATGCAGATTAATTTAAGGTCACACTATGCGCGGGAAGAAACAGGTCAGTGCGTGCCATGGAGTGGAAGAAAACATTTGACCTCGAATTCTGGAATCGGTGCAGGGCCATAGAAATTCGACTTTTTTATCCCTGCTACCAGGTCTGACTTTGAGCCACAAATGATTTATTCGACTTCGTAAACAATTTTGCTTAAATCGTCGCATCTTACCAAAATAAGCACTTCCTTTATTCGCGTCTTTACTGAAAAAAAACGCATACGTGCTGAGTGAAAATGGTTTCGCCCTCAGCAGTCCATTTTCCAATTATTTAAATATTTTTCCCTAGCCCAGGCCGCATCCCAGACCTGACGAGGAGTTTTCGCGCTAAAACAGCAGGGCTTCCTCCCAATCCATTTCAAAGCTAATGCCGGCAAACGGTTAGCGGCTTTTCCTTGTCGCACAAACCAAACGAGCAAACGCTTTATTGTAGCTCCTTGCATTCTCATCGCCGGCATCACGTGCGTTAGAGCCAAGCCGCATATGCAGCAGGCAGCTTGACTCGTTTACGACCAAGCCTTGCCCTTGTCAAATAATGCGCGCGTGCGTGAATGCGCGCTAGCATCTTCCATTTTGCCTGAGCTCATTCATTGGTCTAAGTCATGGCCATTGTCCAGGCTACACCAATCAATGACAAGTCACGCTCCCTTTAATTACCTTCAGCGCGGCTGCATCCGCACTCACGTCTTGAATTGATCGCCATTAACGCATCTGCCTTGGATTAATTGACAGCTTACCTATTTGCTTAAACGATTGAATAACCGATTTTATCTCCGCGTGCTGACTCCATTGCGCAGCCCAATCCATCTTTGCGTTCCATACATGTCTCTACCTTTTCGTAGTTCAGTTTTGCTATTAGGCAGTTAATTGCTGTCGCAAGTTACTTCTATTCTGCCTATACTTCGTGGTCCAGTACATCTCAGTGTTTCCTACTTTTTAACCTTCAGCGCTTCAACGTTTTGGTTGCGTAACCTCTTCTTACAGCGACGTTTTCCTGCTGCCAGAAAGCACGGCCCATAGCTAGGAGAAATTTGTTCCACCCCGCTTCACTGCATTTTTAGTTTTCGTATACAACGAGGTTGCACCGCTTCAGCTTCGGCATCAACTTCTTTTCGCATTCTTACAGAGCATTTCTACGACCCTTCAAATGGCTCCTACACGACGAACATCTGCACTGAAGCCACCTAATACCGTTATGCAGAAAATCGTCTGCAGAGGGGCACATAATAACTCTGGTTACAGATGATCATATAGCGTCTACTTTGCACACTTCTGTGTGCCGTGGCGATGACCAACCCAGTAACTCTGCAAATGCTGCAAAAATACACAGGGGAGGTAACCATAGCAGCCTCACTAGCTAAAGTGAAACAAGAGCAGGATTCCACTGAGTGCACCACCTGGCGTCTACATCAAAATCAGTATGCACGCTTCTGAGTGCCGTGGCGATGACCGATCCGGGAACATTGCTAAGCGTACCAAAATAACAAGGAAAAGCAACCTTAGCAGATGTTCTAAAAGAGATTCTGCGGCAAGGAGAAAGCGGGAGGAGGAAACCTAGGTTGAGGTCTATTTGAGGCTTTATAGTCAATCTCAACGGAGGCAGTATGTTTTGTCACATGAAACGCTTGGTGAGCGTAACTACCGTTTGTACTGCAAATCGGTTTACACATATTCGTTGAAAAGTAAGAGGAAACTACCTAAACGCTTGCAAGATAAAAAAAAGCGGCTTCACCACAAGTGCTTTTTGCGGTCTCTACAGAGCCCGCATCGAAAAGCTACTCGCAATGCAGCCGAAGCTGCTGCAACATCCATTCGACGGTCCCAGGAGACCACGGCTGAGAAAACCGCATGTAACTCAGCGAAAGCTGCGGCAACGTACATTCGACGGTCCCAGAAATACATGGTTGAGAAAACCGCACGCTATGCAGCCGACGCCGCTGCAACTTCTGCTGCAAGCGCGTCGGAAAGTTACGCGCAAAAGCGCACAAGGCGGCAACGCGATGAATTTCAACTTCCACTGCTAGAGCTGTAGAAGGCCCTATTGAAAGGCTTGAAAGGTTGCAGACTGTTAACCAGCGCCGCCATGCACAGCAAGGGCTATGTAGCCCATCAAAGCTGACGTTCAAATATGAGTCAGTTTTGAGGCTTTCCGGTCGCAAAGTCCTCCAAATAAGATCCATGTCAGTTGTCTGTGGGCATTGCAATGACGGAAAATGGCCTGGATGGTCTGCAGGTTTGTGTTGTTCAGACGGTAAGGTACAGTTGACATCTTTTCAGGAGCTACCTGCTCCATTGAAAGCTCTGTTGGTGGGTTCCAGTCCAGTCTCCAAACATTTCATCGGAAAAATCAGACAGTACAATTGTGCCTTCCAGATGAGCTTTTTTGGTTGTAATGCCTTCCGCGAAGTCGGTTGGAATCCCACCTTCAAGGCTCAAGGTCAGGTTTACCACCGGATTGGATCTCTTTTGCCGGAAACTGCCACTGATTCGGCCTTTCTACAAATATACTTCATAGCTGACTACAATCAACAGGCAGATGCCCGCATGGGCATTATTCCCGAAAACGATATAGGCCAGGACAATCATCCTCGCAGGGATATCATAATGAGTCTCCAACAAATGCTCCACGAGACAAAAAGCTATGTCCGCAGTTTTAAGTATGCTCTCAAAAATAACACTTCTTCTGATTTCATTATTGTAATTAATGCTGACAAACGGCATCAGGGAGAGCACGAACGTCTTTACAATGCTCCCGCAAGTAACGAAGTTTCCGTCATTGTCAGCGGTGATCAGCACAACAGACGTGACATTGTTATCGAATCGCGCGGCAGTGGGCTCCGAAGAATCAGTGAAACGCACCGGTCCTACGATGCATTGCAATACCCACTTCTCTTCCCTTATGGAGAAGATGGGTACAACTTTGGAATCCTGCAAAATAAGTCCACCATAAAAGCAGTGTCTTGCAGGGCTTTCTACGCCTACCTGATGGCACATGAGGGTGCATTCAATCATCATCATCGAAGCCGGGAACTTTTCCATCAATTCATAGTAGACATGCCTGCTAAGATGGAATCCGAAAGACTCTGTTACATCAGATTGAATCAGACCAGGTTACGCTGCGACTTTAACATTCACCTCCGTGATGCTTTACGAAATGACGCTGATCCACGCAATATAGGCAAGATGTGCATAGTACCTGCAACGTTCACAGGCAGTCCACGATACATGCACGCGAGGACGCAAGACGCGATGTCATACGTTCGTAAGTACGGCCGTCCAGACCTATTCATAATTTTCACGTGTAAACCATAATGGTACGTAATTGCTAATGAACATATGCCAATGCAATCGGCCTACGACCGCCCAGACGTCATTGCGCGAGTTTATCAACTGAAGTTGCGAAAAGTGATTACAAAGGGCCAGGTATTTGGGGCTGTTTGCTGTCGCATGCACACTATTGTGTGGCAGAAACGCGGCCTGTCTCATGCACATATACTAATTGGGCTGTACGACAAGATTGGGGCCACAGAAATCGATCATCTTATTTCTGCTGAAATTCCGGTTCCGTCGGCTGACCCTGAAGTGTTCGAAATAGTGACAACCAACATGATTCATGGTCCCTGCGGGTCGCATTACAATTACACCAGCTGTCACAACAGCGACGCCAAATGCACCCGAAAGTCCCCACGAGATTTCGTGAGCGAAACCATTACAGGGAGCGATGGTTATCTAGTGTACCGGTAAAGGAGTCCCCCTGAGGGAGGATTTACAGCCGCGGTAAAGGGCCACCAATTGGATAACAGATGGGTAGTGCCATACTGTCCCCTGCTAACAAAAGCGTTCAATGCGCACATCAATGTCGAATATTGTCATTCAGTTCGCTCCATCAAGTATGTATGCAAGTAAATCAACAAAGGGACTGATGCTGCAATATTTGGTATGAGGCAGGAAGGTTCCGTAGACGATATCCAGGACTTGCTTGCAGGGCGCGTCATTAGCAGCCCAGTGGGCCCTTGGCACATATTCAACTTACGCATCCACGAACGCTTCCCAGCAATCGTCCATCTTGCTGTGCAATTAGAAAAAAACGAACTTCGTTATTTTTCTGCGGATACAGCAGTGGATGTGGCTGCACGTACCAAAGACACAACGCTTACAGCGTTCTTCAAACTTTGTCGACAGGACGAGTTTGCTAGGACTCTACTGTACCCAGACGTGTCTTCATACTATGTGTGGACAAAAAAGAACACGTGGGGCCAACGTCGAGGTCCATCCAGGCGTCAAAAATGACGTCACACTCGGAAGGGTATTCAATGGCTGAGTTAGCTCTTTGAAAAATGCCATCTGCTTTGCGCTACCTCTTCACCACAATCTTACAAATGTGCGAACCCAGTGATCCCAAATCATTTTGGGACAAATACAAGGACTTTTTGTCCGCAGATATATTCAGAGAATCGCAACTGTTGTGATCAACAATGGCTCTTACATTCAACGATGAAATTTACAACAGGGAGCTTATAATCATTGAGAACCTGTTTGTTGAAATGGTGATGGGGGGAATCTCTCTCCGCTATAGGGCTTCCAACGCCAGATCGTGTGTCTTCGTCCTGTCTCTCACTTGAGATTGTGCGGGAGACATCCTACTCTGTTGAGGTGCTCAACATGTATGTCACAACAAATGAACCATGACTTCTCATAGATCGAAGTGCCGCTCAGGATGCGGTTCTTGCATCCACCGGGCCGGACACAGGATCAATTTCCTTCCTGGACGCGCCTGGGGGAACGGGAAAAATGTTCGTAACAAAACAGCTTCTTGCAGAAATTTTGCGCCATGGCGAAGTGGCGCTAGCAGTAGCGTCTTCAGGCATTGCTGCCACATTACTACCGGGTGGCAGAACAGTGCTCTCAAAGTTTAAACTCCCGCTTGACCTGCTTAAGGCAGAAACAGCTGTATGCAGTATAGACAAACAATCAGGTCTAGCTGAGGTACTCAGGCGATGTAAGCTCATCGTCTGGGATGAGTGCACTGTCAGTCCAAAATTTCACTCGAGTCTGTAAACCGCTCTCTGAAGGACATTCTAAACTCCGATGACATTCTGGGACGTATAACTGTCCTTCTATCCGGTGACATTCGCCAGACTTTCCCCGTTGTACGCAAGGGGACAAGGGCCGACGTTATTCGAGCGTGCTTGAAATCGTCACACCTTTGCCCCACTGTTAGATCATTGCCCCTTACCACCAACATGCGTGCCCATCTAACTGACAATGTTGGGTCCGCCGAATTTTCAAACGTATGCAACCAATCGCTGAATGCAAAAAAGGGACGCATCTTTTGCCCAAAAGATGGCGCTGCCGCTTCCACAATCAGCATCACAATGCGTGAGAAGTTAGATGTTGTTGCAACGTAATCGAGTAAAGTTTCTCCTCGAGAAGCTTCCTCAGTTTGACCATTCAAATCGAAGAGTAATAGGTCTTTTCAGTTCTGCAGTGGTGATTCAAATTCCGACATTTACGGCGTCAATTCGTAACGGAGACAGATTTACAATTTGGACTCAGCCTTTCAAAAAATTGGTAATTCTGCTGGTACTCCGGTATTTGGGCGGATTACATTCTAAAATTTCGGACGTTCTTTATAATTCAACCAGAAATTCCTACGCGGCCCAGTTAGAGGTGCCTTGCATAGAATGCCGTGTGACCCCGTCGTGACTCAAAAATCGATACAAACCTCCGTGTTAACCATGCCCTCAGCAGTCCATTTCCCACTTCTTTAAAATTTGTTCTTTCTCCCAAGCCGCATCCCAGTTCCGATTTTCCAATTTACGTCATTGTGTCATGTCGGAGCCTGATTTTTTTTTTATTTGGGACTCAAACTTTGTAAAAATACCGATTAACTCACAGGTGATACGGATTTTGGGGGTTTTAAGTTGAATGTCTCGCCTGCACTACGCGGCCGGGTATATCTAAGGTTTTCACCTCATTTTGGACTCTGTGCAGTTGACTTCGCGTTGTTAAAAACTTTGAGCTCTTTTTATTTGAACTGAAAATCGGATCAATTATGGTTTCAAAAGTACCGGGTTAACAAAACAAGGGCAAAAACAACTCCGCCCAAGTAGTATGACCAGTCTCAATATTTCAGGAAACTGGGTTGGGTGTGAAAAAGTATTTGTTGTTAACATTGTTTTTTCATTCGGTTTTTCCAGTTACGAGTCCTTTTTTATAGCTGATCTTTTTGTGTTCATTTTGTTTAGTTCTTTTTTCGTAACAGATTTAATGTTTAGTATTGAACTTAGAAAAAAGTCGCAGTGTGAGATAGGCAAGAAGTAAGGCATATAGCAACATCAGCACGGCAAAGGGCACTCCTTTAAAGGCAAGGAAGGGGAAAATACTTTAAGTCAAGTGATAGCGATTGCTGTATGAGTCGTAAGATTTTTGAATCAAGAACGGGCAACGGCGGGCCATGCTGCTAGTTACATATAAACCCTAATTTCATCATGTTACTTTATGTAATATTTTGTAGGTTTCATTAGGATTAATTATAATTTTTTTTAATTATTTCTTACTTAGCAAACAGTAAAATCATTAAATTAGTATTTTCACTGTATTATTTTATAACAAATTAAATTGATCATTTCCCGTAATTTACTTTCAGAACGTGATTAATTGTAGTGATGATTATGATTATGATGATAATAATAATGATTATAATAAGTAATAATAATAATAATAATAATAAGAAGAAGAAGAAGAAGAAGAAGAAGAAGAAGAAAAAGATGAAGAAGAAAAAGAAGAAGAAGAAGATGAAGAAGAAAAAGAAGAATTAATAAGTAATAGGAAGATGACAGTGATTGGTATTATAAAATTGAAAATATCTTCTTACCTTTAATCATAAAACATTCTTAAATATATTTGGATTCATGGGAATATGCACACGAAAAGAAGGAAAATGGAAAGTATAGTAGGGACGCGTTTCCAGAGAGCAACATTTCGTTGGAAAAAGCTGCTACAGTATAACATGCATCTAACCAATGGAATACGAAAGGAATGAGTTTCGTTCGCCGCTACACTGTGCATGATATGGTGGGCCTTGTCTCTGATGCTTAAATGTGTTGGAACGAAGAAATGACCTTTGTCTTAACAATTTCAATGAAAATAACGATAATGCAGCGAGAAAATTGCGATGTCTCGTCTGTGAGAAAGGGATTGAAGGATGTAAAATAATTCCTCATCCTTAAGAACTTGGAGATTCGTCGATATGGTCGATACTGTAAAGTGACCCCTGGACAGTACCTGTTCATACATGACAGTAGTATTCAATTTTTGCCATGGCCTGGCTCTTGTAAAGGTAAAGGCTAACAGAAAGAATCACATACTGGAGCGGTAGAAGTAATCTATTATATTTCCAGAAAATTAGCGAGCGATTGCATGTAAAAATTCCACTTGAGAATGGATTCTTAAGATTCAATAGTCCTTCAACTCACGTGTCCCCTCTGAGGAATTCCAACGATATCAAAACTGACAAAATATGGTAAATATATCATCAGTTTTAAAAAACTAAGAAAAGAGAAGGTTCCCAACGACAATGCAGGATAACAAGTTATTGAAAAGATGAAGTAAACTGGTGCTTTTTTCTTGCAAGTATTTAAATTTACTTATTTATTAAATTGATGGATTTGTTTTTACAGCTTGTCAACATTTTTGCAATTATTTAAAGCGATAAAATATGTTTAGATTGTACGCGTTTGTTTGAAAATAAAAAGGATTTACTTATACAGGTACTAACAATTAACACCTAGCTGGGAGGAGACGAGGCGTATACATACCTTTCCCCCGGATATTTGTACTTAAATAAATATAACGAAAGCGTTCTCAATAAAACCATTCGCACATCGAAGGTTACAGCACCTGATCGATGTTGCTTGAAACTGAAATGGCTGTAATCTTCTTAGTTATTAAATGGTGCATTAAGGAGCTTAAATCATTAAACAGAGATATTTTAGACAAAATATTTACTACGGTTATATATACATATTATAATATATGTCAGTTTAAATGGAAAATACTTTCAAATCAAACTTTAGAAGGAAGTTATATATATACTGCTGCGAATGACATAATTTAGCTCTTGAAAAATTATATTTCAATTGAATGAAAAGCTAATTCTATAAATAACAGCCACCTGCGCTAATGTAAATCTCTTCATTAAAACTCCGACTGATTGGCATTTGTTTACATTCATAAAAAAAAATACGCAAGATTTAGCAGCTTAATTTAACCATTTATGGGAAACCTAGTTAGTATTTTCTGACTCACTA